GCTCCTGCGGTATTCCCATTCGCGTATGTCGTACCTTCGACGCTCGTCTTGCTGGAGCTTGCGGCAAATGCGTGAAATGTGACCACGATAGCCGCAATAATAGCACAAAGGGCAAGTCACTCAATAAGGAGGGCAGTAGCTTGCGCTAACTACACCAGGAGAGAGAGCAGTGAAAGGGACAGATGACGGCTCAAGCGGTGGTGATGGAAAGCACATGGGAAAGCTTGTGGGAGGTGCGGCAGCAACTAACGTGTACGTTCAAGGTGGGGAGGTCGAGCTGACGGTGCCTGGTGGTGCGGCGGCGGTATGCGGGAACAATTGGGGAGTACGAGCGACAGTGGGCTGCAGGTGGGCCATGTGGGTCATGGACGTGAGCTCCTCCCTAATGACATCCCGCAATGACTTTGAAGAAGACTGAATGGGACACACTGAAGGTAGTGTGAATCCCATTGATTCTAATTCTTCGCGTATAATCACCCTTTTCGTGTCTCGTAGGTTTGGATCCACCGTGATACGGGCCGCGTCACTGTTTGGTTGTAAGCGCATAGATTCAAGTTCTTCAAGGCCCTGACAGGTTGTCGCAACGTCGGCAACGGTAGCCGGATTCTGGATTGCAAGGGCATTTAATGCGACAGGTGCAATCCCCTTAAGAAGCTGGCGTACTTTGTCTGACTGTCATTGGCGTGTCTACCCGGCGGCAATGTGAAAGTACATCCTCGATGTAGGATGTATTCGACTCCCCGATGTGCTGTTTCAGAGTCGCGAGAGCTTTCTTTGCGAGAGCCGAACGAATAGCCGGTGTGCCAAAGACATGGCGAAGCTGATCTTTGAAGGCTGACCAGTTGGGGATGTCGATGAAGTGGTTGAGAAACCACGTCTTCGCGACACCCGTGAGGTAGAATGAGACGTGCGCGAGTTTGTAGGTGTTATCCCACCGGTTAGCAGCGCCGACACATTCGCAATCGTCCAGCCATTCCTCCACATCTTCCCCGCGCATACCAGCGAAGGAATGCGGCTCACGCTGGAGGCTGTTGATGATGTGAGAAGGCACGGCATGCGGTGGTGTAGTGGGAACGCTGCAGCACCGACCTTATCTTGGTGCGACATATTTCCGGACACCTGGCCCAAGCGGTGACCTGAACGTAGCTCCAGGGGGTAGAGTGGTCGAGAAGATGGCGGGTGATCTAACAGCACGCTCCGCCACGTATGAAGTCTTGGTTTGGATGACCTTTATTAGGGCCGAGGAACCGGCAGCCGACAGCTACGATGAATGAACCAAGATGATGATGCTACGGGACAACGATGAGGATGCTTGAGCAACACATGATAATGGTGATAATGTACAGTTGAAGAGGATGGGTATACTAAATGCCCACAATATACTTTCTTAATGTGCAGGGAACGTTCCTAGGAAGAAGACAGATAGGGCAGAGTACACAGGTAGCTCTGTCCTATCTGTCTTCTTCGGCTGTGTCCTATTTGGCTTCCTGAAAACGTTCCCTGCGCATTAAGAATGTGCATTTCTTTCAAAAAATCATCACAAACCAGCCCAAGTAGCCACTCTTTTGCATGGTCGGGGACAACAACTTTGCTTATTCCGTTTATTATGTGGACCACAAAGAAGAAATACTGAACAGCGCAGCATATGTGTACACGTCACTGCCGCGGCGAGTCCTCAAGGATCGACGGAACTTGGTTGCGACCAACGAAAAGCAGGAATTTTTCGCCGCCCCCGCTTCACAAGAAGTGCCGAGTAGAATCTCCTCGCTGTGTGGTTTCTGCAGGAAAATATCCATGGTCGTGGGTTCGTTGTGCCCCGTCTCATGCAGCTGCTCATCGCATTACGCTTTTATGGAGTAGGCACGTTCCCGCAGATCGCGGGATCAAATTCGGCTGCGGCGGATGCGCTTTCGATGGAGGTGAAAATGCTGTAGGCCCGTGTACTCAGATTTGGGCGCACGTTAAAGAACCCCAGGTGGTCGAAAGTTCGGAGCCCTCCACTACGGCGTCTCTCATCGTATGGTGATTTTGGGATGTTAAAGCCCACATATCAATCTGTCAGTTGACACTTTTCAACTTTTCAGCAATTTTCAACTTTTCAACTTTTTTTTTTCAACTTTTCAGCAACGACCTTGTCAATGTCTTGTAGCCGATTGTGTCTCGAGTATGCAGTTGAGCGGATACCTGAGATGGTTGCAAAAACACTTTTTCCCGTGCCAGTAAAACTTCTCGAAGTGGCGTGAACACTTTTGTAGTTGTTTGGTCGGCCGTTCACAGATTCACATGTGTGTCGATTGTTGAATTCTATCGCGAGCTGCTTCCATGTTTTTCGTTTTCTTTGAAGGCACACAGCCTTTGTCTTGGTATTTGGTCACAAAATCGATCAGAACGTAGCCACTTCGTGGATGAAGTTCACTTCAAAACATCGTTTCACAATTTTTTGTTAAAAAAAAAAGTGCTGTAAAACTGCTCAAACTATCAAATAAACCTAGGGAAATTTAAAAAAAAAAAGTGAGAGGAAACAAGCTCTGACACGAGCACAACAAAAACATACAAGACATTGAAATAAAGAGAAAAAGAAGACCTGCATCGACGGGAGTTGCAGGAAAGTGGCCAGACGAAAAATGTGTATATCACTGAAAGCTGCTGGTGCCTAAAAAGCATTGCTACTATATGTGTTTGGCTGCTTCTGTGCTGTTGTTGGTTTGTTGCAGTGAAGCTAAATTATTGCTGCTCGAGGTACTGATATTGTAGCAAGGATTTACCTACCCTCGCGCCCAGGACCTATACTTGACAAGTTAAAGACGCCTTTCATAAGGCGCCCTTATGACAGGATAAGGGAGGTTTCGGGAACGTACCTTCTACTTTTCTTAAACTTATACTTTTCTTGTTCTTTCGTAAGTAGCCTTACCGCTATAAGTCCAGGTCGGTTCATGAGTACGGCGGTAACTCCTGATTTAGCACTCCAACATTCAGGCGGCATTGTACAGATATGTCGTGAAGCCTTCCGATGTCTGTTACCATGGCCATGTGACCCTGGAACACTTTGGAAACGTGCTGCTGTTGCAAACTGCCCTAGTGGCATTGTTTCGTAGCGAAATTAAATTGGGCTACTTATCTTGCGATTTGGAGTTTTTCTAATCAGTTGTTATGTAGTAATTTGTCTGGCTATTAAGGCAGGCTGTTTTTGTGTCGCTGTTTGCCGTTGCATTGATAAAAAAACACCAACTGCGGCATTCAAAGGGGCCCTGCCATGCTTTTTCATCCGCATGAAGGGCTGGAGTACATGATCGCTGAATTTCCGGAGCCCTCCACTACGGCGTCTCTCATAATCAAATGGTGGTTTTGGGACGTTAAACCCCACAAATCATCATCATCATACATGATCGCTGATTACCGAGATAAACGCAAAAATGATTATCGAAATGAGTGCATAGTAGTGATAGTAATTAGTCTTTGAACTTCAAAGTGCAGGCGGAAGATGAGAAAAAAAAACAAGCATTTTCTTTCGCATTTCACTCTCACACTGATGTCAACAGCTTGCCATGCGCTTCTTACAGAGATGCCAGACAACTCGCCTCATGGTGGCAGTTGTGCAGCGAACCTAATGTCATATTGGGATTGTTTTAAAAATTTCATATGTCATGATGAAAATCTTTTTTTGTATTTTGGTGAACATAGTGTTTTCATAGTTTTTAGCACGCAATAGCGTGGCCTATGCTCAATATACATATATATATATATATAATACGTGCGGCTAGCTCCGATGAGCCAATCAAATGTGAATGGCCAGTGTTGTCACTCCCACTCGAAGCATCACTTCCACCAACCAACATAGCTGTCCCTCTAGCCCAAAACCAATGTGGTTTCTCTTTCAAATCAATGAACAGCTTTGTTTCTGACATTGCTACTTGCACGACGATACCAGTGCATTCTGCAGTTCAAGAAGAAGTGATGACAACTACATGGGTAATTTGTAATGCAGTGGCTGTTTGAAATATTTTGTCTTTTTAAATGCACAAAGCGTGCATTTAATCCACGGCCACGGGACTTGAATCCTTGTAACAGGGGCCACATTTCGTTTTGGGTGAAATACAGTGAACGCTTGTATGCTTAGATTTATGTGCATCTTAAATAACCTTAGGTGGTTGAAATTAATAAATAGTCCCTCAGTTTGGCCTGCCTCCTAATTATGTCTTGAATTTAGCTCGTTAATTCTCTGGGACATCTTTTTGAAGACAATATTATGACAAGAGTGGCATGGTAAGCATAGTGACTGCTGTGCTGCAAATGATGAAGCGGGTTTGCCATTATCCTAGTGAAAGTTAGTGGCCTCTTGTGGATGTGCTACCCATCAACGTTGCACTGATGTAGACACACAAACACAACATTGCTTCTAATCCTTTCTACTCTGCATCTGTCATTAAGAAGAGGTACTGGCATTGGACGCCTGTGAGTCTTTAAAGAGATTGCCTGGCATAAAGCTGGTGGACGATTTGGCCAAATTACATGAACTGATGATGGAATTGATGATTCGGGAACATACCTTGCTTGCATTCATGACACGCCGAAGAAGACTGCAAGTTCTCGTCAACAGATGACTGAAGGTGTGTTATGGCATCGAGCAAACATTGCTATAGAGAGCCTTGTCTCTAATTAGAATGAACTGTAAGCCCACAGATTGCTCTAAGGGCAACTGCGCTGCTGCATCGTAGTGTTATGCGGAACATGTCTGGTTCAATCCCCTATTGTTGTGCTGAACGACTGGGCTCGAGGGCAAGGTGCTTGTGTGGCATGCTTTGTGATCATGTTAACGCAGTCACCCAAAGTTTAGTCTTGAGCCTTTTTCGCCACTGTCTCGCGTGGCTTGCAATTTTGCTCTGGCATGTTCGAACTCCATCAGTCTGACTGATCTTTGTGCCTTGCCCTCTGCTGTGACGGCCTGGGACAGTCCAGCCCACTTACCAGTCTCTCGTCCGTGTGGCCACTGCTTCTTGCAGGCACAGTTCCACATGCTGCCAGGGATCCCTCGAGGTAGTAGGGCCCCGTGAGTCACTCCTCCACGCCGCCTGTGCCTCCAGTGGTCTTGATGGACTTCCGACTCATCGGTGTATTTGAGTCTTCCTGCCCCTGTCGTGACAACGGCTGGGACCTCGAAACTTGCACCGAACCCAGGTTCCAGCTCCTCGCCTCCAGCATGCCCAGCACAGGCAGAGGCCTGTCCGATCTCATCAAGATGACACAGGACTGCTCGGTGGCCCTGCAGCGACTCGAGCAGATGGTCCCGGGTTTTCACTACTCGACACGCTCGAGTCGCACCATGGCCGGAAAGGAACGGCTGGCCAGAGCGGCGGTGTGCACAAATGGGACAGGTACTGCTACGGGTTCGGACGAAGACTGGATGAGAGACCGCGTGCAGAAGGAGCTGAGGCGGGGGAGAGGAGACAAGAGGCGGATAGTTGTGCGCAGTTTTGGCTACTCTGTTACGTGCAAGGACTTAAAAACTGTGCTCGGGACTAACTGGTTGAACGACGTCGTCATAGACTTCTACATGGCGCTCGTGGCCGCACGCGCTAATGAGACTCCCGGCAGCCTGCGTGTGCACGCATTGACCACACACTTCTTCAACGTGCTGAGAAACCGGGGCTACGACGCCGTGCGACGCTGGACGGACAGTGTGAACTTGTTTTCGTACGACTTGGTGTTTGTGCCCATTCACGACCAAGACCACTGGTCACTGGCCGTTCTGAACATGATGCACCAAACGTTTGAGTTCTACGATTCCATGGGTCGTAAGAACTGGAAGTGCTATCAGGTTTTGATGGCTTACCTGAAAAAAGAGCACCAGGACAAGCTCAAAAGACCTCTCACGCCAGATGTGAAGTGGGAATGCAAGTACGTTCCGAACATTCCTCAACAGACCAACTCTCATGACTGTGGAGTGTTTGTGTGTCTGTATGCGGAGTGCCTCGCAAAAGGCGCGCCTTTCACTTTTTCCGCTCGTGACATTCAGGGGTTACGATATCGAATTGCCTTTGAGATATTGTCTGGAAAATTGGTGAACCACTGACACTGGCTGCTGCCACCTAAAGACAAAAGTAGCGTATCATTTGGTGGTACAGGTTGTTGATTGCAGCCTCCACACATGTGCCTATGCTGTTTACAAGAGCATACTTGATTAGAAGAGGCCTTTTCTTTGGTTTACTCAAGCTGATGAATTCTCATTCGGCTTTGCAATGTGATATAGTTATTAATATGAGAGATGTTCGGGCCACTGCCTTCCGCCAACCCAAAGGCCAACATGCTTCACTTTAGAAGCTCTTCATTTTACTTTTGCGCCACATCATTGTGCGCTACATTTTTTGTGGCATTCTTGATCAACCATAACCTCTCGTGTCTGTGAGAAAATGTTCCCTGTGCGAATATTTCATTTTATAATTTGAGGATATTAGAGAACCTCATAATTTTCACTTACTTAACGAACTTCGAAGTTATTCTACAGATGGACTTTGTGTTAACTATACTCAAAATAGGGGGCAGCCCCCGGTTGTTTTCTATTTGTTAAGCTCTCGGCTCCCCCAGAAACGTAAGGACAGCAGGGCATGTTTAGGTTTTGAGTTCTTCAGGTTTGCATAAACCTGAAATACTGACTTGCCAGTGTTGCTTATCACCGCTGCAATAAGTGACACCTGGCATTGCAGCATATTTTGATGAAGAGAGACTTTGTGAACAAATTTTCATACCAGGCCCGGTTCTGGGGCAAGATGCTTAAGGTGCTGTTTTCGCAGAATTTTCTGTGTTGACTGTATTGACAGACCCAAAATGTCCTTTGCATCAGAATTTCCTGTTTTGGAGTTGGGTGCTACATATGTTTTTTTTTCTCTAAACAAATGAATTCGTGGAAGAAAGAATAAATCTTTACATATTTTTTTACTGTTAAATAGTTCTTTTCTCGCGTTTGGTCGTTTTTTTTGTGCTGGAGCTGTCTCGCGTAGGTTACCAAGCTTAAAATCAGAATTGTGTCCCAAGACCAGCACACTGTGTTTCTATGCTGCGTAGTTTGAGTTCTAAATGAGGAACAAGCTCATCAGTGCTTTTGATACAATGAACATTCTTTGACAACTACAGTGTGCAAGAGAGTCACAAAAGGCAACGGTCATCTATCGGGCTTCTGATGTGTCGTCTGTCAGTCTCTCATGGGAGCAACCGCTGCGCCACTTTGATACAAATCCCAATTTTGCACGAAGCTGCACTGTAACCATGAAATTTGCTGAAATAACGCTATGCTGCGCCAAAATGTCCGACCAGTCTAAAAAGACTTTTCAGTTGTGGTAATTTGAGTGAGAAATGAAGACAACGTTGGTCAATCCAACTGCGCAGACAGTAGCCCTAAACCATGATGTAAGATTTACTTTCATTAAGTCAGGCCACTCACGAAATGTGCAATCGACCAGATAAAGTAACAAAGCCGCGCGCCCATCAATCCGCTGACCGCAGCGGATGCCCATTGCCGGCACGACGCAACTACAAGACAAAAAATTGACCCGAATCTGCATGTTACACTGCAAATGTCGTCGGAAGACGATAGTCTTGCATTTGGAGATAGTGAACAAAACGTTTCTTTGATGTTCTGCGCAAGAAAATCGGTGAATGGTATTCTTTCTGGAGGCTGCGGATGGGGTTGGCCGTTTGAGGCATCGTTAAGGGCGGACAAACAGACAAATCTACAGACAGACGGGCCAAATTTTTTTTGTCCAAGGTTCCCCCAAAAAAACTATCGTCTTTAAAATGTGATTCCATAGTCACCTAAGCTTCGTGGGAAATGTGAACTTCCTGGTCAGAAAACGTGGCTATGGCATGTTAGCAGCTAGAGCTGGAAGCGCATGGGCACTTTCTTCGCGTGAATGGAGTGGATGTGCTGTGAAGGCCGGCATTGCTGGTGTCCATGTTGGTCGCCATAGCAACGGCACGTAAAACATTTTTCTGTCTTGAAGTTGCGTTAATTTCATCGTCCCGGTGATGGACCAACGGGCACGCATGTGTTACTTCACCTAGTAGACCATGCCTTGCAAGGGATCCAAGAAGTGCTCCAAACCTAACCCCATCGCGAAAAAAAAGAAGGGGGAAGGGGTACAGCGGTGTTCAAAAATTTCTTGGCCTTGTTCTAACTCGATGAAAAAAGTTTGCTTAAGCCACTTTCGCCACAGTACACCGGCACCCAGCGGAAAAGCGTATTATGACTTACAAGGGGCTGTTAGCCCTAGTCATTAGGACACAGCTCATTTTGTTCAATTACTCATGCATGGATACACCGCATCACTTTGAGTATAGCATGGTCCCTCAATACTGTTTTTTCTGGTCATGAAACTCCCGCGAAAGTTTCACATGGGGACAAAAATGGCCACCGTAAGCAGGAGGGCATCGATCGGCCGCGCTTGGCAGGGCTGTAGCGCATTCACGGAAGCGTTTCCTATCGAAAACACTTCTTCAGATATCTTCTTTCTTTGTGTTCTTGCTAACAAATTATAGCAGCTATTAGTATTGTCAAGGTGGCCCATAATGCTCGTTGTCAAATTGCCTTAGTCCTTGAATGCTGGTAATGTTTTGACTGAGTCCGCCTGTCAAGTGATGCGCATTCGTAGCGTTCTTAAATTTCTCAGTTCCTGCGTACTCGCTTTCGGGCTTAAACCAAACACTGTGACCGGTTCCAGATGACTGAAAGATTAACAAAGTTTGCGCTGAAGATTGCGGAGCAGCCGTGCTCTGGCAGCACCTAACGTTTTAATTTTTGCTAAAATTACTGGCAATCGTCTGGAATCCCAAACTGCCATGAGCACAGGCACATAGTTTATTCAAATCTGCATTTCATAAGCTGTGGGGGAGACGGAGTGAGCGACACAACTAAAATCACTGAAAGAAATTTATGCCCCTGATTTCTTCCCTCCTTTGGCAGGGCAGGATAAAGGACGTCTGCCAGCACGAAACAGTTTGTTTTGCTCACTCGTAAAAAAAAGGCAGGTGGCACTTAATAAAAATATGCTCAATTTCTGCCGTAGTGCTCACGAAATGTGCTTCACAGCCAACGCTGGTCGAAGAAGTGTGGTCGTCTAGCACGATGTTCTCAACAATGTTCATGTAAACAGTGGCCCAGGCTATTTTGTTCAAGGTGCACATTTCCACATGTTCTTCGACAATTTGCAAGAGCCACTATAATTTCTCCGATGGCACTTGCAAAAATCCTCTTAACTTGATTTGAGCCAATGCAGTTGGCTCTCGGGAGTTGCTTGTGAGTGTTTAGAGACAGTCCTTGTAGCTTAGTGTAGCTAACTTTTTTGCTACATAGCCACCGAGGTAATCCAAAATGCAGTCTTTCGTTGACTTGGGATGAATCAAGTCTTGCATGCATTCAGCAGGCTCCAGCAGTATATCATCAAAAAGAACTGCCGAGGTATCAATCTGTAGGAAAATATTTGTGCTGCTGGAGTCCGGGAGTCTGAGCGCAGTCTTGAATGTTCTTCCGATTAGCATGTGAATCTTGTTTCTTTTGCTAGTTGACCAGTTGTGGAAAGCCTCACGTAGGCTATATGGGTCATGGTGAAAGACTGGATGAGTTTGATGGGGTTTTTTTCTCTCATGCATTCTCTTCTGTTCATGATCTGCTGGATGAGGTGCAGTGCATGGCCTTGGTCGTTGGTTTGAAAATCTTGCATACTTTTGGCATTTCACAGCCACCCTGTGTGTTAATTTTAATTTCTTCGTATTGTGTCGGTCTACCGCATCTCTTGGGAAGTCTCCCCTTCTGCTTGGAATGATATAAAAGGAGTTCTGACTTGATAGGCAAGCATTGTACGCCTGTTCCTGCTTGGAACTCTTCCACTTTGGGCGGCCCCATTCTTGGAGCTTGTGGTCAATATTGCCGTCACTTTCGTTGCTGATGATCGTGATGGAGTTTGGGTAGATGGTGTGGTGGATGCTGTTCACTTATTGTAACTTCCGCAGAAGGTCGATCATCATGAGATTGAAAAAAGAAGGGACATGACAGAGCCTTGTGGCTTTCTGCCGCTGCCCATGTTCCGTTCTTAAATTGTATTGTCTCTGGCCTTTCAGCCCGTGAGTAAGTCCCTAACATCATTGTATGCTCGGACGCACTGGTTCATGTTTGAGATTTGGACTAGGTGTACTGAGTGCGCTACACTGCTAAACCCTTTCTCAAGATTGAGACTATGGATGGCCTTTTTGCCTTAGGTTCAGTCGTCTAGGCTCTGGTCTTGTCAATATTTTTTGTTCTGGAATAGATTTGAGCACAAAAGGACGAGACACAAGAGAAGACCACTGCACTAGTGCTCGTGTCTTCTCTACTTGTGTTTCCTCCTCTTGTGCTCACATCTATTCCAAAATCAAGCGACGTGCCCGTCAAAGCATTTTATTAAGCTACTGTTAGCATTCTGTGGCACTGCTGTGTTGCAGTGAACCATGCTGAATAAAAGGAGGGAACCCTGAGTACAGTATGCGAAGCAGCTGCGGGTCGACTTTCTGTAAAGAAGTTCTGTAAAGAAGTGCTCTTTATGCAGTGTAAAGTGCTCTTTATGCAGTGTAAGTGTGAAGTTCTGTAAAGAAGTGCTCTTTATCATAGATGTTCATGGCTGTCCACACAGCTGCTCTGCGAGCCCTCCCTCTCCTCCGCACTCATGGTCATGTCTTCACTCATACTATGCTTCGCTGTCTGTTTTAGAAAGAGAGTAAGCACTTTTCTAGTGGGCACTCTGAGTAATAGCGTGGCTACGATGAAGTACAATCCTGGACCGTAAGCTACTTCGCATCTAAAGCTCACATCTCTTATGCCTTTTTACTTATTTTATTTATCACATACTGCGGACCAAGTATGGTCCATGCAGGACGCACTGCTTCACCTAAAATTGAAGCCCGAAGGTGTATCTTTTCTCTCTCATTTAATGTATTGATCCAGCCCTGTCACCCTCCGAGAACTTATTGCAGCTCACCTGGTTTTGCACTGTCTTTGTGATCAGCCCACCTTCGACCAAGGCACAATGTCATACGGCGACGTCACAAAGTTTGGCAATCTGCGACGCCATGCCGACGTTGTGTGATGACTTCATCACCTGATGGTTTTTTTCCTCACTAATCCCTCATGCCAATGATAAATTTTTATGTTTGATGAGGTATCTAAGGCTCTTGCATAAAAAAAATAAAGGTTTGCGCTGGAATAAGACACTGCCGCGCAGAAGTCTGTTATTCTGCCATGGAGCTTGGCCAGTGCTTGTAACCTCTTAGACACGCCATATACAGTGCGCTCGTTGTACAAGGAGCCGTGTTAACACTTGTAATATTGGGTCGTACATGTGTAAAATTGCACGAGGCATCACACAATGAGATACGCGTGATAGGCGGGTTGTCTGCAGCTGCCGATATATTATGAAGGGCTCACCCACGATTGTCATCATCATTCTCAGCATCACCAAATTGTGCAGCCATGTAGGTTTGTGTATTGCCTTGAAAATGCGTAATGAGCACTGGGTGGCTTTTCTTGCCCTAGGTACCATGGGAGAGTTTACAGTGGTCTATGTCCTGAACACAGAAAGGATCACCACCTGACCTACGTCTCGTAGGACTGTCCCGAATTGGTGGCTTTTGTTCCGCGTCCCGCTAGAGATACGAAAGTCCGCACTATTTCACGTTTCACAGTTATCGTTTGGCAGTGCCTCGAGCTCAGATTAATGTCGCCAGGCTGTTTGAGGGCATATTAGCTGCACGGTTCACTGTGGTGATGAATTCTTCTGGTGCCAGCTGGGTGCCCCATCCTGCCGTTCTTTTCAAAGTTGGCAGTGGGCTCCTTCTCATATCTAAAAAAGCTTTGAGTTCCCAGTCCAGCCAAACACTGGTGGTAAGGCCTTCAGTGGTGTCAAAAAAGTAAGTCACAGCT